CAGCCACAGAGCCCAGCCACCAGAGCCCAGCCACAGAGTTCAGGGGCGCGGCCAGTGAGTGTGGCCAGCTCTTTTCTTTCTAAGATAGAACCCCAACAGTAAACTGTTTGGGGAAAAAAGAGAGAAAGAGAGAGACAGAAAGAAAAAGTGCTGCACCTGCCACGAAATCTGCACTTCCAGGTTCACAAAGTGCTGTACCTGTCACGAAATCTGCACTTCGAGGTATTCACCAAGTGCTGCACCTGCCACGAAATCTGCACATCGAGGGTCACAGAGTGCTGTGCCTGCCACGAAGTCTGCAAACGAGCCACATGTCCAAAAGTCACGATTCACTGCACCTGTCACGAAATCTGAGCTCCTCGACCATCACCACCATGTCCAAAGTGCTGCACCTGCCACGAAAATTCCATTTCGAAGTCAAACAGCTCGGATCTCTTGTACCTGTCACGAAAAGTCGACTTTGGAGCACCAAAGCACGAGGTTTCCCTTGCACCTGCCACGAAAAGTCACCACCATGTACGAAAATGCGCACGGCACCACAACGAGAGCGCAGTCGTTAGAAGCACCCGCCGCAGACACCCAGATTCAGCGAGCCTGCGCAGTCGAAATGCACATGGACGATGCCGAGAGTCATGAATGTACTGTAAATAGCAGCGAATCAGTCGCACATGCCCGCGCGCTTCAGCGATCTAAGCATCAGCTGCCTTTCCACTAGCGTAGGAACCCCTCAGTGTGCCCACACTGTTTGGGGAACAAAAAAGATAGAGAGAAAGAATTGAAAGAATACAAATTGAAAAGAAATGGAAAAGAAAAGCAAGAAAGGAAACGGAAGGAAAAGAAAAGAAACGAAACAAAAAGAAAAGAACCGCAACGAAAAGAAAAACGAAAAGAAAGGAAAAGAACAAAAACGAAAGGAAAAGAAAAAAAGAGCGAAAGGAAAAGGAAAGGAGAGAGAGATGTGCAGATGTGAAGGTCCGCATGTCTGGATATGTACGGATGTCAAAGTGTGAGATGAGATGTAAAAATGTGCAAATGCGAAAATGCGATCGTGTCTGAGCTTGTATGTGTGTTAATGTGGTCAATGCATTGTCTGCATGAAACGGGCATACATGACATATTTGGACCTGGTACAATGAATGTAAAAGGACAAAAAGCCGGCCATAGAGACAAACAAACGCAAGTTTCGCTGCAAATAGAATCTTACCCAACACAACAAACAGCACGAGCCTCATCAACGGGGTCTGTCTCTGCAGTATCTAGATCAAATGCAATGCCACTTGATGCTTCTAGCTGGCTGCCCCAGTCAGCGGTGGCAACTTGACGCAACTCCTGCATTTCCTTCTCCAAGATTTCTTTGTTTTTCATTGCTTTGGCCAAGGCTTCTGATGGCTGCTTTCGCAAGGCATCGATCTGACGATCCAGTTTTGCAAGCTCTGAGGATCGTGTTGCCAATTCGAGCTTTGCATCGCAGCTGTCGACCACCTTGCCTTCGACGTCAGTTGCATCACAAACCTTGACACCAAGGGCGCGAAGTGAGGATGATTCGCTTGTGTCGCCCAGCATCATGACATTGGAATCATTGGAGGATCTCCGTGCAACTGAGTTGAAGGACCCCACTTGTTCTGGTATCATGCATGTATTTCACAACCGCGGGCTGCAAGAATGTCCTACACAAAGTGGTGGATTGAACAGAAAAGATCCAACTGCACCTAGCACTTGCATGCCACCATGTGCAACATGTTCACATGATTCTTCCTAAGCCACCGTCACCATGAGCCGAAACAAAACAACAATGTAGCATAGTGGCTTGTACAAATACGCTGCGCAAACCATGAGGGTGAAGAAACTCAAAAGTCTTTTTGTGCCGCCGCCTGTGCGGAAGTTTCCCAGGAGGAAGGACAAAAAATGACAGAAGCATCGACTTCGTCATTCGACAATTCTTTGAAAGAGTTTTGCTGGGCTTTACGGGACATGGGTGATTAAGCCCTTGCCGCTCAAAGCCATGCGAGTTGCATTACTGCAATCCACATCCAAATTGGAAAATGACACAGCTCAGCTGTTAGCTCTAATCAGCTGCATGCAACATCAGCCTCAGTATACATAGAAAAGACATCTTTGCAAATTCGTTCAATGTCGTTCTCTGTCAAAGGAGCCTTTCCTCCAAATTGTTTCTGCGATGACGGCGCGTCCGTTGTGCACACCATTCTCCACATCCCCGTGCACAGCCGAAGCATGGGTGCAAACATCTTCAAAGCAAGCTCAAACTCTCTAGGGTCATATCGCTTACCCTGGTTGGATGCTCTTTTCCGTCCTCGTTCCACGATGGTGCCCTTGTCTCCAAAAACGCCAACTACATGTATCTCATAGCCTGCTTGCACCAAGTCCTCTGCCACATCGACGCATTGTGACCGGCGGAGGCAGGTGCTCGGAATCATCAAATTCTTGCCATCCTGCTTGGCTCTGTCCAGAAGTTGTTGCTTCTCCTCATTGATGTTTTCGCGAATTCCGAGGTAGGCATTCCACCAAACACATCCGTGTTGATGCCCTTCGCTGATGGCCTTCTGGTAGCCTTGATGCGCATCCCGGAAAGCTTCACCATCAATTGTCACATAGCCCTCAATATCCATGCCAGCCCATTGTGCAGCTTTTGGTGCCAACGTTGACTTTCCACATGCACTAGGGCCTATCAACCACATGGCAGCTTTCTGCCGAGCTCTCTTTGCAGAGTAAAAACCGCTAGCCGTATATGCTTCCAGAAGCTCATTTTCAGTGAACGGTTCACTGATTTCTCCAGACAAGCCCTCACCTAGGTCGTATCCAATTAGCTCACAAATATCATCATCTGAAGCCACCTCCGCATCCAATGAATCATCAACTTTTGACAAGTCTATATTTCTCGGAAAATAGTGCGGCAAATCTGCCGGACCCGCTTTCAAAGATGCAACATGGTTCCCAATCTTCGGTGTCACCCTTACGCGCCGGGACACTTTGCTGGAACTCACCAAACAAGCGATGAGGCTGGTAATGCAGCCAGGGTAGGCATGCAACCTTCTCAGGCTACGGCCGGGACAATGATGTCTCCAAGGGCCGATCTGGTGGACTGGCACACCAGAGACAGCACAGTGTCGCACAGACTGTACAATTCTTGGAAGTGCGGCTCCTCCACTGAATGATTCCATTGCGGCGGTTGCAAGAATTCTCACTATGTTATTGCTATTGTTACTTAACCTGCAAAAGCTGGCCGCATAAAGTCAATACGGCCTGATGTGGTTGGGGAATCGTGCTGTCTCGTGAGTCCCTGCTTCTCCGGAATTGCCGATTTGAGCCATATGTAAATCAAAATCACAGCACAATGCACAACAAGCACGGTGCATCAATCCAAGCCTGCTTGAACTCAGAGTTCTTAAGCCATGGGTCAAAAAACATTTTTCCCTGAGCATTTCAGCCTCCGCACCAACCTACAGAACAACGAGGCTGAAACTGGCTGGAGTCATTATCTGGAGCGACTTCTTGATGTAGCTCGGCCAGTCCTCCTGCATGTGGCGTGCAAAAAATGTAAGCCATGCTTGGGCCCATCTGGCCTCCGCAATCTCTCGAGCGCCGCTTTCTGCTTGTCACTGCTTTTGAGTGCTCCTGCAGCAACAAGTGGCGACAATATATGTGCGTGTCCCCTCTGCAGTCACGAGGTTCTTTTTGGACTGCTTTGTTTTTCTCTTAGCAGGGGAGCGGTGGGCATTCTTGAAGTCACCGCTCAACGAAGACACTTCAAGTTTGCTGTGATATGCAATCCGGACGCAGATTGCACGTACCTGCGAGAAGATGATGAACACATTGACACTAGTGGTCCGCCCTGGCTCAGGCTGTTTGCAGGTCTTCTCAGGTTGCGATAAAGTGCTAATGCACTTGCAGTCATGCACGAACGTCGTCAACCTGTCGCGTGATCGTTGTAGTCTTTGGTTTGGCGGTCTTTGAACATTGATGGGCCTCCACTTCTTTTCAGGTTTTCTTCACCTGTACCCTCAGGAAATGGTTACCTAGGCCGGCATGTGGCAACCGCTTTCGAGTCAGCACGCATTTCTATAAGTGTGTCTCTCCTCGTGAGAGCCCGGGGTGCCCGAGGAGTGGCCCCTGTGGACCCGTCGAACGGGGGTTTGTCTTCGTCCCTGCGCCCGGGACCAAAGTAGTCCGTAGCGGACAAAGTAGGCTTAGGCCAAAGTTATTTGCCAAGACTTGACGAAGTATTGAATCCCAAGCTGGCTCATGCCCTTACGTGACCGCAGCGGTCCAAGCAGCCAGCCACTTTGGCAGAGCACAGGGTGACCATAGCGGTCAAAGTATTTTGAAGGCTCGTTGGAACCTGTCGGGAACTTAGAGTGATGATTCCTCCTCCACCAATCCCCGCTCCACCCGCCATGTCTAATAGAAAAGGACGCCTCCGGAGTGTGTCCCCTCTAGAGTCACGTTCCCTTTGGACTGTTTTGCTTTTCTCTTGGCAGGGGAGCGGTGAGCATTCTTGAAATCACCGCTCAATGATTGGGATATGCAATCTGGACGCAGATTGCACGTACCTGCGAGAAGATGATGAACACATTGACACTAGTGGTCCGCCCTGGCTCAGGCTGTTTGCAGGTCTTCTCAGGTTGCGATAAAGTGCTAATGCACTTGCAGTCATGCGCGAACGTCGTCAACCTGTCGCATGATCGTTGGAGTCTTTGGTTTGATGGCCTTTGAACATTGATGGACCTCCACTTCTTTTCAGGTTTTCTTCACCTGTACCCTTAGGAAATGGCTACCTAGGCCGGCGTGTGGCAACCGCTTTCGAGCCAGTACGCATTTCTGTAAGTGTGTGATTCGTCTCGCTGATGGGAAGTGCTAGCTGCCGCTGCAAATCCATCAGTGAACGAAATGTCTTGGCCAAACAGCTAGGAGCTACATAAGAATTGTACAGGCTTCAACCGGATCTTATGGGATGGGATTTTTTGATGGACTTGTGGTGTAGCACCGCGACGTTTCGTGTTAGTTGCGTAATGCTGATGTTTGGCCGTCCTGACACAACAGTTGCCCTAAAGAAAAATAGTCTGACCTTTAACCAACCTGCCAAACCCACCAATGGTTTGCTCCCAGTCCTCTACGTTTTTTCCGGCCAAACTCGTCCACCTCCTCATCATCTGAGTTCCATTCTTTCTTCGGTTCCTAAGGTGCTTTTCTGAAACCAGTAGCAGCACAATTTTTACATAAGAGTTCAGGAGCCAGCAAACAACAAAATCATCACAAAACAAAACAAGCCAAGACAAAACAAACCCAAAAATAGAAACCAACCAAAAAGAAATGCACACACATACACAAACACAAGGAGTCGCAAATGTTAACCACCGCCCCTGCCCGTCTGCTTCAAGTCACACTGAAAGGGGTTAGGTTCATCCATCACTACCACACAACTCGCAGAACAGTGCCGAAGGGACGCAAAAATATGCGTCCTATGACAAACGCCCGAACCACCCAGTCACAGCTCGCCACAAAGCAGGCCACAAAAACACTGCAAAGCCGTGGCAAACTGTCAGACACCGGACCATCACAAAGATCATCACAAGTCACCACGAACGCGCACAAGCCAATTTGCAACCAAAACCATGCCATTTGGTGTCGCTATTTGATACATGGTATACAATATGCAGTACGCATTACTTTCATGCCGTTTCACTGACAACCTTTACCAACTGTGGCTCCGCAAGCGACACCGGCTGGAAATCCAACTAAAGTTCTCTTGGCCGGTGTTTTGGGTGGATATAATATGAGGGTCGTTAAATGAAGAGTCTTCATTTGCATAATTTGCTGACTGCATCGTGCTTCTGCCACCCACATGAAATGAACACATGAACTACAATGCGGCAGAACTCAAACCATACATGAATAATGTTCGGATTTCCTCGCCATAAAGTCTGACATGTGCGCGCTGAACGACAGGACAAGGTTTTTGCTATTTACTGCACGTGCATGGCTGCATGACTGCATTGCCACCCACATTGGTCCTTTGGCAGGTTTGATGTATAGCCGGCCCCCTTGGCTACAGAGGGAATTGCAAAGATGCAATTCGATATGATCCAAGAATCATCCGGATCTGGTCTGTCAAAGTGACCACCAAGGCGGCCAGACCTTCCTTCAGCTGTTGTAACGATTTCAACCCAGCTCGGATTTTCTTTCTTACCTTGCCAGTGCCAGTACCGCGCATCTGACTGCCAAATGAAACCCGCAATAGGCAAAATCATACGCATATACACATCGAAAATAAAAAGAAAACATTTTTTAAATTCGGTCAGTCGCAAGCCAAGCAAAATCTGTCACAAGCAAGATTGAATCTGCCACAGGGGCGGCAAGTCCAGTCAGCATTAACATTGATGCCGCAATCCTTCTTGCCAGTTCGCCAGTCAGGCATTACTTGCTCGCGAGTTTGTGGAGGCCGCTCATTTGCACACGATAAGCAGTTCTTGCGTTTCTTGAAGTTCAATGTCTTGCAATTCGGACATTTCCAATCTCTCGGATCATAAGTTCCAGGCGCCGGAGGACGGTTGGTCATGAATCCACGCTGACAACGGACCGAACCCCTGAGCCAAAATTTGCATCGCCACAAACGAAAAAATTGTGCACAGTGCACTGCAAGGGTTTGTCGCACCCGCCCCCAAATAGGCATCGGAAAAAATAACAACCTGTTGAACAAAGGCGGCCAGTCGGACCCCGCATAAACGCAGGTTGCTGGCCCAAAAGAAGACTTGCTGCAGAACCGCTGGCCAACAAACCAGCTCAGGACATGGGGCTGGGTAGTTTTGACTCAATTCCTGTGGTTGGTCCTGCAAACCCAAAAAATCCAGCGCGTTCCTCAGGTCAACTTTGAAAAAACAAAAAGAATTGCGGAAGCAAAGTATGACTGGGGTCGGGATTTCATCGGGCAGCTCTTGGCGTTTTGATACGGGTCGTGTTTGTCCCCCCACCCGCATTTTCAATCGCAAGGTTGTCGAATTTTCACGTGGCTCCAGTTTTTTGCGGAGCTGTGCAAGACAGAGTTTGGCATACGTACAGTGTACAATGTTACACATACATGCATATGTTCATGTATGTGTATGTACAGCGGGCAACGGTTCCAACTGGTTCACTCCGCACTCCAAACATGATCAGCTCGGAAGACCTCCGCAGCTCGCCCTCTTTTGGATTGCCTGAGTATGCGTGAAGTTGATTCAGTGAGAATTTCCACCCCATCAGCAATGAGATAGGGTCGAGGAGGGTGGGGTTTCTGCTTGCCCCCGCTCTCCGCATGTTTGGAGTGCTTGAACCAAAGCAAAAAGCAACATGTTCGGGTTCGACCAAACAGCCATGAGAAACACATGGACCGTTCACTCCGCACTCCAAACATGATCAGCTCGGAAGACCTCCGCAGCTCGCCCTCTTTTGGATTGCCTGAGTATGCGTGAAGTTGATTCAGTGAGAATTTCCACCCAAAAGCATTAATGAATCAACCGCTCAAGAGAACCCCAAAAGTGTGGTGGATTCAGGCATACCGAAAAGAGGAGAGGAGTGGTGAGCGTTGATTCTCCCCTTGGAGAGGAGGCTCACCATCTGCACGCTGTTTGCGGGGGGTACAAAACCGGTTCGGTGTGCGCCGCCTAGAAATCCTGCAGTGAGACTTTGAAGCGGGTCGCGCGTGTGAAACCGAAAGGTGGGTCGGTGACTGCGTCATCAGCCCACCGGCTCAAGGCGTCTGCTTCCTCATTTCGAGTGCCGGGAATATGAGAGGTATCTAGGAAAATATTGAGGCGGCTTGAGACGACAGCTATTTGCTCAAGAACTCGGGCGATGGATGGGTGTGTGCTAAACAGGTTGTTAGTTGCACTTTCTGCTCCTGTGTTGTCTGAGAAGCTTGGAAAGGTCAAGGCTAGACGGGTATGTCTCAAATCTGACGCGACCATGAGAAGAAGAACACCCTGCGCAAGCGTTTCCAACATGCAGATTTCTTTCTGCAGATCCTTCGGGGGTGTGAAACCAACTGCTTCAAGGTCGGATGCGCAAAGGCGGAGAGAAAACCATCGAGCAGGACCCTGGTGACCTTTCCAAAAACCACCAATGCCTGCTTCACCCCCTTGCGCAAAGGCATCCGCTGCCAAGACATCCGTGACCCGAGGTTTGGGCCGCATTGACACCATGGGATTGGTGGTTTGAAGCCATGTTGACAAAAACGTCAAATAGTGCACACTATGGTTGCTCAGCTTACGACTAGGTGAAGAAGGATTATGAACGCGCATCCAGATCCTCCGATCTGTGATGGGCACCTCCTGCACGTCTCTTAATGTGTTTACTTGAACATGACGAACTGATAGCAGCGATGGAGGTTCCCGGAGGTGTGGCCAGGAAGTGCAGATCCTGAGACAAACATGACTGAAGTTGGGACCAGTTTGCTGGGGCGCAACTATACAGGGTGGCTGTTCCGTTAAAGAGGTCGGCGTACAACCAGTGCATGTGAGCACGCAGCAGCGGAAACAAGGCCGTGCACCACATATTTAGGCCGATAAAGCGCTCCAAAGTTTTTTTAAGAGACTTTGCGATGTTTCAAGAGATCGTCGATCAGTTGTAACAGTTTTTGTCTCTGATTTGGATGGAGAGACACGAGGCCTTCCGAAAAGTCAAAACGCCAACCGATCCAAACTACTTGGGGTCCTAGGGTGCATATTTTCCAACTAATGGGGACCTTCAGAATCAAACACAGCATACTAATCATGACCGCAGAGACTGGGAGGATGTCACAGTTTTGAGTGAGCAAGAAGTCATCTACGAACAGAAACACAGCGTGCGACGTGAAAATAACCTCATGAAATAAGCAGTGCTGGCTGAACACAGCTCCGAAAGGGCAATTCCTGTAAAAGAAAAAACGATTCTGGAAAGTAAAGCCAGCAAGTCCCTGTTCTGAGGGATGGATACGCACTCGCTTGTGCGCAGCCTTCGCATCGAGACTAAAACTAGACTGGGGGCTTGTTGTATTGCGCAGGGGGAAGAATGCACGACATCTTGCGCCGACGGCATGGATGGCTTTTCAGGAACATGGCAACACTTATTGGTTCCACAAACCGTGTTGGCGGGGAGCGCGACTATCGGAGAAAGCGATGCCAAGCTTTCCGAGGGCGACACCGGAAGGCCAGTGCTGTTGAGCTTGTTCCAGAGAGCCTTCAAACTCGTACACCCCTGTAGATTTGCTGGATTTCTTCCTGAAGCAACGAGTTCGTGATGTCCGGATTGTCCTCCGCGCTTTTCCAGTTGAGGAAATGCTGGGACAAAGATTGCTGCAGCAAGGAGGGTGCATCATGCTTTGCTGTGAAAACATGGGATGGTGGAATATCATGGTTGAACCCAGTGGGAACCCCTGCCAAAAGCGATGGAAACAAGTGAATGTCTGGGCCCTGCATAAGCTCAGAGAGAGCTTGCATGGCGTGTAAACAGAAAGGCTGGTCTGGATCTACACTCCAATCCCAGTGGGAAACATCTGTTAAGCAGCGTTGCAGGGAGTCCCGAAAAATGTGGACCAAGGCATCATCAAAAGGGGGGTCAGAAGATGCGCTGCGCAGTCGCTGCGTCAAATGCTTGTGCAGTTGCTGCTGAAGTATCAAGTCCGTCCATTCCTGGCGCAGCTTCTTGAAACGATTCGGTTGTGGAAAAGATGTTGACCAGTCCCCAGTGCTGGTCAAGCCCCCGCCATCATTGAGGGTGTGTGGCGGCTGAGAGAGGGACTTCACAGGGATCTGCTCTAGCAAAGCTGGGACTGTACAAGGTGCACCGGTTGACATCAGTGGCGCAGTGATTTCGGCAAAGGCCAGAGCCAGAGATTCTGGATATTCGGCAGTGTCGCGACTTGCCCACTGGCCATCCATACCTTGGCGATTGGTGAAGGAAGGATGACCTGAGGGGTGATTACACCGGGATGCAAGGATGGCTAAGGGTGCATAGCTGGTCGCAAACAACCAAGTCTTGTTCCATGAGCGCATGCTGCCACTGTGCGAGGCACGGGTCCTGCCAAGACAAAGCGTCGAGTGGGTGTTCGAAATGGCCGTGCCCTCCGGCCGCATATGTGGCTTCCAGGCATGACACGCATCGTTCCAGGAGCGTCTGGCTGAGCTGCCATCGAGACTGTTCGCTTGTGGTCATGTTGGGGACGCCTCTGGGGTACTTTATGGTCCTAACCGGTGAAGGTCCTCCTGCACGAGACTTGAGCAGTGAAAACTCGGCGCATGACGGGGCTGCTGCGGTGTAGGCACACAGTCCTGAGGCGCATAACCGCAAGAGACGTTCGAAAAAAAGGTCATTGGTGAGATCATGAGTCACACAGCAAAATATCAATGGGGCAGGTTTGCCGCCCTTTTTGATGCAAAGCTTGGGACAATGGTTTATGAGTTCCAGAGCACAAATCGAGAAAAATTTTCGTGGGCTCTGTGGCGCTGTCGATTGAAAAACATGGATGAAACTCTGGTGTGGGCGGTGAGACAGGGCGGACAGGAACCTTCGTGACAGGGCCGATCGGAGGCACGACACGCTGGCCTGAATTGGAGGTCGCGGCTAGCGGCGGGCTGAGCAGTGAGGGTGATGGGGAGTCTACGAGAACAGGCTCAGTGGGGGTATTCGGATCAGCCACCCCTTCCCCCCTAACAGGGTAGCGTTCAATGCGAAGTTTCGGTGTGCTTCAGGGCTGAGTGGGAGCCCTCACAGGCCTGACCATTGCTCTGAGGCATAGAACAAACGTGTAGATACCGGCACCGAGGATCCGAACACATCCCTTGGTTAGAGCGCATGCAGATTGTGTACTTTCGATCATATTTGGTGATCTCGCCCACCCAAGTGGAAGATTGTTTGGGGGCCCGGGGCCCTTACTCTGGCCCCCCTTTAGCTGCCAGGGCATGCCTCCTTTGTTGCCCTTACCGAAGCCCTTGGGGATTGATGCTCGAGGCTGAAGCAAAGAGTCTAAATCACTGCGCACTTCGACGAATCCCTCTCGTGTTAACGAGCTCAAAGATTCGGTACCAGATCTTTTGATCTGCAGCCTGAAGCTCAGTGGTGTTTGGAGCACGGAGGTGCAACTCAGGGTCGAAACGTGCAGCGGCAAGGCTCATGAATTTCTTTACGTACAGCTTGAGGGTGGTAGGTGAGCTGCCTGAACCAAGGAGTAGGAGGCGCTAGCCAACGTGAGAATGTTCTACAATTGCGGGGCTCCCATCTGAGCGGGGATGTCTCTGCTGGGGACGTCATCCAATAAGGCGTCATGCAAGGACAGGTTCTCTAACCGGGGGAGCTTGTTGGGGCGTTGAAGCTGACGGTCATCGTGCTCTCGCTGCGAAAGGCGGAATTTCCACGGGATCCAACTGAACTCCTGTTTGCTAGCTTGGCTGTAGTCGGGGGCCCGGCAAGCTGTCGATGTCCAGGAGCTCTGATGGGTAGTGTGCCTCAAACAGTTGCCTCAGACCTTTCAGGGTGTCTGGTTTCAAACGTGGAGGGAAAGCGTCATGCCACGCGGGGGATTCAGCGGTGGAACCCGAGGCGGAAGCGGCTGGGGCGGAATTGGTGCGGAGCTAGTTTGCAAGGACTGGCATCGAGCCCAAAGCTGACGCAAAGCGGCTTTGGTGCGGACAGTGAGATCAATGCTAACTGAGCTCGTGTCAAAAAGGTCTACAAGGGCCCCATCTATATGTCTGACAAGGCTAAGGCAATGAATGAACAACTCTGGATGTCAAAGTCATGGCTTTGCAAAACCTGAATGACGTCCTCTGGGATTTTGCATTCTTTGCAGTGTGAATCAAA